TTTTTCGAAAGTGCTCTTTCGAAAAAAGGTGTTCTTGAATGCAAACAGGGCTTTTTTGAAAGACAGCATCCAGACTGCCTGGGTGCTCTCTTTCGAAAAAGCGGCTCACTTTTTCGAAAGAAGAGGTTGCAGTCTAGATGCTCTCTTTCGAAAGAGGCTTGCAGTCTAGACGTAGGCGAAGAGGCCTCCAGGAAATAACACAGGTGTCCTGGTGGCCACTCTGTCCAAATTAATCAGGACTCTATAGTTCCTATCTCCTGGCCCCTCTTAAAGCTGCAGGTTCCCTAGAGAAGCCTTGTGGCAGGAAGTCCAACAGAGAGCAGCAGCCTGAGCACACTGCTCTCCCTGCCACAGCCATGTCCACCTCTGAAGCCCCCTGCAATCTGCCTGGCCCTCGTCAGGAGCAGCCCCAGGCATCTGAGGACCCATTGAGGGGGTCCAAGAGGCATGCCCCATCATGGTCTGGCCCGGAGATCCAGTCCCTCCTCGAACTGTGGGGCGAGGAGGAGACACTCCAGGATCCCTGGGCCAAGTGGCAGAATGCCGATATTTATGGCCGGATGGCCGCGTCCCTGGTGGAGCGTGGACACTCACCCCGACCATGGAGCAGGTCCAGAGTAAAGTGAAAGAGCTCTGCCAGGGCTATGTTCGGGCCACCGAGCGCAGCTCCCACTCAGGGGCAGGACCCCACACCTGCCCCTACTACAGGGAGCTGCACCAGATCCTGGGGGATGGGGAAGCCCTTTCCCCACCTGTGGTAGTTGACTCTAGACTCAAGACGTCCATTGTCACCCGGCCAGAGGTCGCAGATGATCGGTCACGCTGGAGGCAGGCACTGTGACCCTCTCCCTCAAGCTGGTTCCCATAAGCGAAGAAGACTCCCAGTCTTCCACGGACACCTGGGAGGGATCTTCAGGTGAGTGGTCTTTGTCTCACACACAGAGTGTAGGAGGTGGGTACACACGGGGAGGGGAGCGAGTGTCGCGCAGGATGCTGTGGTCTGTGCACATGGAACCATGTGCTGCCTTACTATGAGGCACATGGACACAGCAGGCAGCCCTGGAGCATGCCTGGGATCCTGTACCCAGGCTTAGGGAAGGCTACACATGTCCTCCCATGGGGTGCAGGGAAGGGGCCGGCTGGAAGCAGACTAGCCACAATGGCACAGGCATGACCCCACGCAGACAGAGAAGTGCAGCACACAACACATGTGCATGCCTGCACATGTGAGGGCAGCACCTGCTCCTGCACACAGCACTGTGACCCGCACCTTTGTGGGGAGACCCCAGGGAGGAGGGCCAGGCTGCTCCTGGCTCCTCTGCTGCCCATGAGGGGATCCCACTATGGCTGGATATTTCCCTTGGCTGCCTGTGCATGGGCCAGGGGCAGGGGAGGGAAGGGGTAGATGGGAATCATGGTCCTCTGGGCATATCGGGGCCCCTGGGAAACAGGGCCTGCTGTGCAGGCCACATATGGCCTTGCACCCGGGACATCCCCTTCTTCTGCTCTACAGACTGTTGGTTACTGCTCACAGAGGAGGGCACGGCCTCAGGGACAGCGTCTGCAAGGATGACTAACTGCCTATTCCTCTTGGCTATGTCTAGATTGCATCCCTTTTTCGTAAAAGGGATGCAAATTAGACGTATCACAATTGCTAATGAAACAGGGATTTAAATCTCCCCCGCTTCATTAGCATAAAAATGGCTGCCACTTTTTTTCGGCACGGAGATTTGCCGGAAAAAAGCGCAAGTCTAGACGCGGATCTTTTGGAAAATAAAGCCTTTTCCGAAAGATCCCTTATCCCTCTTAAAATAAGGGATCTTTCAGAAAAGGCTTTATTTTCCGAAAGATCCGCGTCTAGACTGGCG